ATAAAGTGAGATTATAACTTGCGTTAACCTCAGCAGCAGTTTAATATTGGGTATGAAACAAGTAAACACACAAAAAGAAACTATGAGCATGGTTTCTCTGGACAAATGGCAGTCAATGATCGCGTCATTTCAAACAGAATCAGAATTATTCCGTTTTTCAGGCCGTTACGCTTTCTCATATTCACATATTCGAACCGGTGACTGGGCTTATGTGCCGAAACGCTCGGGAATCACGCCGAGAAAATTTGTTCTTCGTCCAAATTTGAGACCACCTGCAGAATAGGACAATTTGCAACTTGATTGTTTGATGACGGTGAGTTCTTATCATGTTACGGAATATTAGTCAGGCTCAAAGCCACCTCATCTCATCTGAAGGGCGTCAACGAACTGTTAATTTCGCTACCATTGAGCTGCATACAGTCTACCTTACAGCAGTGACTGCTGATCTCTCAGGTTTAATTCAACTTTCGTAATTTTCTTATCTGAACAAATCGCAGTTTTTATTCCGCAGTTTAAACTAATCTTCTGATCTGAGAGTTTTCTTCAATATTGTAATATGAGATCATACTTAGTGGCATCTAACTTTGATTTCGAAAACATCCTTGAATCAGTTTTGTATACTTGAAACAGATCAGCTGCGGGGATGCGAAAAACAGAAGCAACATTGAATAAATGTTTGTTGATCTTTCAAAAAATTATTTCGGATGCGGGAGATCATGTCACTGAAATTACGTCTATTCAATTAAGCTATTTGACTGACTGTCTTCAACATGGACAACAAAGAAAGTTCATCAAGAGCTACGGCTTCGGACTAGTGGGTCGCTTGAACACAAACTCTTAGACATTGTGTAAGTCTGATTTTTGCAGAGAAACTTCCGAGCAAAGATTTCGAATTCACTACATCTTTCAATCGTCCAAAATGTTGTATACAGCGAAAGAGCTTTCTGTGTTTCTGTCTGTCATAAATCCTCATGCAAGTATGAATGTGCGACTAACCGAAGAGCATTTCGTCAATGATAGGTCAATTAGAGTTTAACAACTGAGGCCATGATACAGGACGTCGCTCCCATCGTCAAGTTAATTCAACATCGAGATCACATTGTGAAACTGCGGATTGTCGTGCATCTCTGACATCCGGGAAGTCCCAGACAGAGGATGACGATTCATCTTCTACCTGATCTCGTTGCTGAAATCATTCTTTTCTCTTTGAATCTTACTGAGATCTGCTTCTGCGGGGTTTCTACTGGTAATGTAGCAAAATTGAAAAGAAAAACAGTTGGATATGAGGAAACTAGGCGAATAAATGGAATACAGAACAAATAAGAACAAGTTGAACAAAAATGAGGACACATGAATCTGTTTCGCATTTGATCAAGAACTGCTCACCCGCCTGACTGTCAAGTAAACTCAGATTAGATAATGCAGGAACTCATCCAGCATTGTCTTTCGCTTTGTAAACTGCATTCGAAAAACATGGTTTGGAACTCGTCTAACACTGTCCCTAATTTTGAACCTGTTGCTTCACGATGGGCTTCAGCGGACTTCTGCTGGAACTCGTCTAGCTTACTCGGTACGGTAATTTTGAGCTGTCGGTGTCTGATCAATGGTGGAATGGTCAAAAATTTCTTTGGACTTGCCTAATATTGTCCCTTGTGATGAGACAGGTGTACAAAAAGACGATGTTTGGCGACTCTCAAGAAATGTCTGAACACGCGACGATTGTTCAGACAACAGCGGCGGACGGAGAAAGAGACTTCTGCCTCATCAAGATGCTCGGTGAACTTGTATTGGAACTCATCCACAATTGACCTCTTGACTTTTGTCGTATCAACAACGTTTTTAGACAGAAGTTTGTCCGGAACTACGATACACTGCGAAACGAAATGAAGCTGAAAGCATAGGAAC